ACAGGCCGCACGTCCTCCCGGGGCGCCCCAGCGACCTTCATCCTGCCCCCGCTGCTGCTCCGGTCACGCAGCTTGGCCAGGTGCTTCTGCATGCACCTGCGGTCCTGGGCACTGCAGGGGCTGAAGCTGTTGTTGGGGTGCTCGCCCTCATCCTTGTCTGCAGCGGGGCGAGAAGGGCAGAGGTCGGCGGCTGGAAGAAGGTCTCAAGCCAGGCCAGCCCGACACCTGCCCGCTTCCCCTCCTGGGGCCCTCGGCGGGTCGCAGCTGCAGGAGGATCCCCAGGCCCTGCAGGGAGGCGAGTAGCGAGCGAGCTTGTCCCCATCCCTAGATCCCTGTCTCCGCCAGCTGCTACACCTTCCCTTCCTGACAGGAAGGACCAGAATCAGACTTTCCATGGGGGAGGAGAAATCGCCCGGAGTCTTCCCCCGCAGCCTGGGTGGGAGTCAGTGCACAAGCTTGCGTGGGAAAGCGTGTGTGTGTGTGCGTGCGTGTGTGTGCTTGCGCATGGGAATGGGACACCCGGCGTGGCCCCGGGACCAAAGGAGCAGCCCCAGGCACGGCCCTGAACCTCTAACTCTCACCCCAGACTTCAGGCCCCAGAACATCCGGGCACCAAGCAGCAGGCTGGTCCCAACCCTCTCCGGGGACCCCCTCAGCTCCCAAGCATCCAGCACAGCCTCTGGGCTGAGCCGGAGACATCACAGCCACCTCTGAAATGCGAGGCTTGGCAGCACTGTGGCCCGAGTGCCGAGGTCCTGCCAGCAGCATTCCAGATGTTGGCAGCCCGACAGGAGGTTACATCTGGTTTGCGTCAGGACTTTTTTCCTCCTGAGGAGTTAGCAGGTTCCCCCGTGCATGGCAGGGCTCCCAGGGCCGCCTCTGGGTCAGATGGTATTTTCCTGCTTAGCCGGAGCTGGGGGCTGGTTCTCATGGTTTGTTCTTCTCATCGGGGGTGGGGGTGGGGTGGGCAGCCAGGTGAGCAGGGACCTAGACCCTCAGTCTGGGAGGAGACCCCAGCAGGGAGTATGAATGAAGAGAGTCTGGACGAAGGTTTTTGTCACAGTGGAGCGCGGGGTTAGAACAAAGAGACACCTACGCAACCCTATCCCACTGCAGCTGGATGAGGCTGGCGGGGTCCGCAGGACAGCAGTCCAAGGGCCTCTTCCTACCTAGAAAGCTTCACCCTTCCTGAGCTCACTTGCGTTTCATCATCACAGAGGAAAGCACGACTGGGCCTGTTACTTCCTCTCGGTAAACAGGCAGAAGCTTCTTAGGCTCAAAGAATGCAGGAGTAAGGAAAAGCCTTCTAAAGAAAGGGATGAGGTAGGGAGTCCCCACCCTGGAAGGGCAGGGCCTCAACACACGGAGGTCCCAAGAACTGAGCCAGCTACAGGCAGGCATGGTGGTGCGCGCCTGTCATGCCGGCGCCTGGGAGGCTGAAGCAGGAGGATCACCATGGGCTTGAGGCCAGCCTGGGCTGCACAGTGCGTTCAAGGCCGGCCCAGACCACATAATGAGAGCCTGTCTCAAAACAAAACAAAACTGATCGAGAGACAGGGCAGAGGCTTCCTACAGCGCTGCTGTCCAGGGGAACGGTGCTACAAGGGGAAGTTCACAAAGAGTAGAGCGATTCCTGAGAAGCCGAGGATATTGGGGCGTCTGCCAAGAGCCAGGGGCCCCAGAGACTGACGGCCGTGTGGGCGCCAGGTGAGCTGGAAGCCACCCAGGCACCCTGCCTGGCCTCCTGGTGCCGGATCCCTGGCCCACCCGGCCCTAGTGTAAGCCTGAGTTTAGGCAGATCAGGAACGTAGCTCCCTGTCCTCCCGGAGGATACAGGGACACGGAGTGTCTGCCCGCCACATGCAAGGCTGACTTCTACATAACCTGTAACTCCCCCTTGCCAGTGTTCCAAACTGTCAGGCTGAGGCCCCGGCCCCGTCACCCCCGGGCAGCACATCTGGGGGGCTGAGGGTCGGGGCACTGGGGCTCTTGAAAACATGACCCTCCGGGCCGCTCCAAGCAGGAGCTGCGTCCAGACCTCTTCCTGGGGAGGTGTGACCCCAGGAGGCTGCACTCCATCGGCGAGGAACCCAGAGGTGAGAAGCCGGGCAGCGCGGGCACCAGGGCTGCAAAGCTCCAGCTGCCTGATTTCAGACTGTGACCTCTCCTCACCTTCAGCCTTGGACCCCCAAGATCACCCCTTGCCCTGCCAGAAAGGCCTTTCATTTCTCCTTTCCCCGGACCTCTCGCTAGGCACCAGGCCCTGGCCCGGAAGGAAGTCTGCCGCTGCCAAGGCAGGTGGCTCCATCCGTCCCACGGGTACAGCAGCAAAGGCACTGAGGTGCACAGACCCCTCTCCACATCCCTGAACGTCTCCCCAGCCCTGGGCCTCGTGCCAGCCAGTGCTCTACCCAAGCTGCAGCTCAGCGTTGCAGGGAAAGACTTCTGACGGCCACGGCTCCCACACCCTGGGCTTTGTTGCTCAAGAAACAAATGTCCTCCTGGTCCCCTCCCCCAGGCTCAGAACTTCTGGGAAGGCCCTGTTCCCAGGATGGGACTGGATTTCCAGCACTGAATGTTTGCTGCGTTGACTAAAAATTAACCCAGCCTGCCTGTTCCTCACCCTGTCCCAAAGGGACCCTGAGCCCGGTCTGGGAACTCCCGTCCCGGGCCTGATGTCCCCACCTGGGCCGAGGGTCAGTACCACGCCGCAGAGTTGTGCACCCAGCTCGGGTGACCAAGCAGTGGGGGTGAGTGAGGAAGGCCTACCCCTGGGGCAAAGGGGCAAGGCGGGCACATGCCAAGTGACCACCCTGCCCTGCACCTGCTCAGTCTCCGCCCTGCAGGAAAGGGCAGAACAGCCTGACCTCTGCCAAGCTGTTCTAGGAGAGAAGGCAGGAGCCGGGGATCTGGGAGGAAGGTGGCTGCTGAAAGCGTGCGAGCTGGGCACGGTGGTACACGGTAATCCCAGTCCTCTGGGAGGCTGAGGCCAGAGGATCACAAGTTCAAGCCCAGCCTGAATGGAGTGACTTAGTGAAACCCTATCTGGAAATAAAAAGCTAAAAAAGAATAAAGCCTGGGGATGTAACTCAGTGTGAAAGTCCTGGGTTCAACCTGCAGTACTTCGAAGAAAGAGAGACAGAGCCTGAGTCAGAGCCAGAGACAGAGACAGAGAGAGAGAGGCAAGGGTTCGGGGGACAGGGCTGAGCCTTGCTTGCCTTATCCCACCAGGCGACCTGCAGGTCCCTGCACAACTCTAGGAGCGCCCTTCCCATGATGCAGTGCAGCCGGGCCGAGCGTGGAGCCCCATGACAGCCAGCGAGGGGGAAGGCATGGGCAGGGTTTTTGCCAAGTAGGCACCAAGTTCTGCGAGGCCTCCTCCTGGCTTGGGCTTCTCCCTTTCCAGATGCCTGCGCCATTGTGCGGGTGAAGGCCAAGCGCGGGAAGGGGGAGAGCTCTGTCACCCTCGGGGGACCTACAGTCCTGCCACCCCTACATCCTGCCATCATGCCCTGCCTAGATCTCTCAGGAGCCCGGCTTCCCCTGCCTGGCCAGGGAAGGCTTCGCAGAGTTTTTCTGCCTCTTTTCAAGCTGGCACCAGAGGAGGCCACCAGCCACCCCATCTGCAGCCCGAGCCTGCTGGCCGGAGGAAGGCGGCCCCACTGTACCCCGGAGCCTAGGAGCTCAGCTACCACAGCCTGCCTCGGCCCCTGGCATCTGTGCCCCGGGATCCACGTCCTGCTCTCCGGGACCCCCTTCCCAGAGTGCCAGGTGCCGGGCTGGCATTACTCCTAGAAAGCGTTCTGCTGAGCCATCTCCGCTCCCCAGGGGCAGAAAGGGCAAAGAGGCCGGGGCCCAGACCCCTGGTGCACTCCTTCCTGTTTTCCTGCATCCTGCTCTCCTCTCCCGGAGAAGGAGCCGCCGAAGATTGAGGAAGTGTAGCAGTCTGGGACGGGACAGGAAGCTCCGCCGGAGTGCCGCATCCGGACAGCAACAATGGAAGCTCCAGGCAGCGGGGAAAGAGAGAGACCCAGGCAGCAAAACAGGCAGGGGACGAGAACCAGAACCGGGGGCGGGGAGAGCGGGCAGGCCAAGCCAGAGGCTTCGAGGATGACGACCGAGACAGAGAGGAACCTAAACGGGAATCAGGCGGAGATAGAAAGGGAGCCAGAAGGGCAGGGAGCTGAGCAGCTCGCAGGAAGCCACAGGACAAAGAGGGCTGAGAAATGTGCCGAGGGGAAAAGAGAAAGTGCGGGCAGGGTCGGGAGAAGGGCCGGCTAAGAGTCTGTCGTTGTCCCTGTCCCTCTCCACACCCGGGGGTTTCTGCAGCTCCGGGTGGGGTGTGGGATATCTGCCCTGCGACCACAGGTGGCACCTGCACAGCAGGGCAGACAGTGGCACGGCCGGGCACCGACACCCCTGCCTGGCGCCCGGCAAGCGGCTCTGGCTCAGGGCCGTGTCCCATCCCGAGGACGGTGGGAGAGTCCACACCCTGGACACATCCTTGGTCTCCCGGGGCTCCACCTCCACCGGGGTGCGGGACGGAAGCTGCCCCCACCACCTCCTGTTGCCCCAGAGGCGGGCTCAGCTGTCCGAGGCTGCCCGCTTAGCCTCAGCATCAGCGGCCCTGCCCGCCCAGCGGACCTCGCTTCCCAGAGGGGCGCCTGCCAAGGGGGTCCGAGACGGGCTGGGCCAAAGTTCCCCGGACGGCGGTA